CATAACAATGCGTCTCTATGCGCACTAATAATAATATTCATTCGGCTATTCATTATAGGCGGATTTATTTTTAGAAAAGTATACTGCTGATTTAATACAGTTTTATTTTGCAAATTGAGCAAATGGTTCATTGTTATCTAAGTTACACATGATAGAAGATCATGGTATTCTATTTTTAAAAAAATAGGGTTTTGGATAAAAAAATAGATTTAGATACTACAAACAAGGAGGCGAATTCATTCAATAAGAGCTTAAAGAAAAAGGGCTTCTTAAATCACTCCATCAAAAACTAACCCTATAAACAGAAAGCTTAAACCAACCTTGGGAAAAAGAATATATTGCAACTATAAATTTTTCAAAAAGATAGTGTAAGTAATTTTTAAAAATATAAGTAAAAGATTAAAGTATTATGCAAAAATAAAAAAACAGAGAAGCAAAATATTGCAAAATATATGAAAATTACTAAATAATTTTTTTTTTTTTTTTGTTAGTTGCATTTCATACAACCAGATAATTTTTTTTTCTTTTTCCTTACTCACCCTTGTTTATTAAATAACTAGATTTATCTTGGAATTTTTTCCAAATATTCTAAAGATTTGATTAGTAAATAGTTTACTTTCTTTATTTGATGAGTAGATCCCTAACAATTGTAAACTTATTGCTTGTTATTTATTGATTTCTAAATGAATCGTGTGCCTTTTATTTTAGGATTGTCAACTATTACCCCAGTCATTGAAAATATTGTTAAAAGAACTTTAAAATCTTATTTAATTGAAAACTTTGCTATTTTAAACATTTAAAATTTTCTATTTTGTAGCAGTTAAAAAGTAATTAAGGGATTGTCCATAGAGTACGAACGCTCGGAGAGGAAGAGGGGTTTGCAAATGTCAAAAGATGGGGGGTAGTGGGGGAAGTCAGTAGGTCAATTATAAAAGTTTGGAGATGCTAAATTAAAATAAGTATCATTAAGCGTTGGGTTGGTAGGTTAAAAGCGTAGCTACTTTTTGGGAGCTATAAGATACTCGAAAACGCCCACGGCAAAATGCGGGAGGAAGAAGGTCAAAAAAAGGAGCGTAAGTACTTTATGGACAACCCCTAACTGCAACGACCTCAACTTTCGGGTAGATCTTAAGTTCCTTACTTAGGTACTAATTTTTATAAATTAAATATTTAGTGATGACACGAAATTCACTATTATCATGACTAAGCACTGTTAAAATTCTCATTTAATGTATATACATTTCATTTTCCTACTTGTTCTCCAAGGCACTTTCTAAGGAGTACTATACTAAATCCACCGTAAGACAACTTCTTTTTGTGGGTATCCATAATATATAAATGCAGTTAA